ATGAAGCGAAGGGATTGGTATGAAGCGGCCGTGATGCTGCATGCATACATGGGTACACATATGCAGCCGTATCTTCGGTAGCGGTGATTGGTAAGATGCCTACGGGAAACTCGTCCGAAATCGATTTACAAGTCACTGAGAACGGAGGCTTTTTCTTCAGGATTTTGACCGTTTCACTCCGTTCTTTCGCCATTTCCCCACTATACAGCGCCCTACTAGCATTTTAGGCTAAGTAGGAAACCATCGTGCCAACTGCCTTTAAGTGGGGCTACTATGACCGAGAACGTTCTCGTTGCCATCGTCGTTCACTTTCGAGCCGAGAAAGGAGCAGAATCTCTGGCACTGTTGTGCTAGCGATATGTGTTCTAGTTATGTTCATATCCACAATGGGTCTCTGTGTTGCAGTGGGAATGGATGATTATTGCGCTGCTGGGTCTGTCAATGACTTCAGCTAACCTTTATGGATATCTGCGCTGTCGCTGGGCGGACACTAACCAGTTCACCAACTACATTTCCAAATGGGCTTTCCTATCGGTACGTATGTTCACTTTTTTCCGCAACATCTGAGTTTCTTTGTAGGCATTACGTTTCCATTGAAGGTTTTGCGTCGTCAAGCTCCATCCAACCCTGATCCTCTGCAGCAAACGATCTAAATGGAATGTTTCCTCGATAACTTGAATGGCTCGGTTGTTGGTTCATACATTTCACTAATCGGTTATTTATCTTTAGCAAGCCGCTATCATTCATTACTATTGATTACCGCGTGGCGTGAAATTAAGGGAGTAATAAATATTTATTATTTTTGATTTGTCGGCGTTATCACATCATTTTCCCATTGCGACTGTATAGAAATCAATACATCCCTTCCCATATACTCTGCACTAAACCCTGTAAATTGCTAGTAATAGCACATTTAATGTTTCATTCACTACATCTTTATTGATTTGGCCATCCGTGCAATTTCAGCACTTGAACGCGATCGAATTAGTGCGCGATCGGTCGCGTCAAACGCGCGGCTGAAGCGCCATCGTCACGAAGTTTGAATGCTGCTTAACTCGCCTGCAACACCTATTTCGGCGCACTCACCGCGAAGTAGTCCTTTACACTGGTTGCTCGCAGTATCTCGAAGATTCGCTTTACTGCTTACCTGAGATAAGAGTTCTTAGAAGACGTCAATACAGATGATGATTAACTTCAACTAATTGGTTAACGCAGTGAAAACAGTGAAGAGATGTAAAACAAATACAAAAACATTGGGGAA